GAACAACACCAGAGTCAGTAATGGCAGTCATGCCCCATAAGGAGATTGAAGTCAAATTAGCTACACATCTTGCAGAAGCTATTTGGTAAAGACCATTATCAGTTACATGACAACCCCATCTACTTCGAGATCTGTAAAACAGAGCTTAAATTGACCAAATCAGTGTCCTCAAAACCCTTAAGGTAAAGTTTGAAACTTGACCAGAATTTCAGACAAATCTTCACAAACCCACGAAAGTTTCAACTCTCAAAACACCATTGAAGGTCAAATCAAGCTCAGAAATCGAGATCATAGACAAGAAGCAGAGGGAGGGAGGGAGGGATTACATGTCGAGTTCTTTGAGATTGTAAGCAAGATGTACAAGACGAGAAGTGGAATCATCGTCCATTTTCCAACCAGCAAAACTCAGAGATTCTCTTCTCGCCATGGATTGATTTACAGCTTTTCTCCATTTCTTACAAACCCCACTTGCCCTAAAACCCCCAAATTCACCCCCAAAAAAAAAACTTCAACTTTTTCACACAAATTTGTTCTTCAATCAAAGAAAAATCAAAACTTTGCAACGATCATCAGAAATACTTACTGTGCCAATTCGGTGAAAGAAGTAACCAACGAAAATATGTAAGCCAAAAGGTCTAACGGTAAACGATCAATCGCTGCTTCTCTGCCCATTATGATTTATGAGTTTAATAGCTTCTTGAATCTGAAAATTTGCAGAAAGACTTATATATACAGAAGTTTGTATATATGCAAATTAATTCTTCTTCAAGAGTTCTTCATAATTGCAGAAGGAGAAGAAGAAGATGTTGTCATTTTCATGGTTTAACTAGAGAAGATGTGGTCATCGTTCCGTCATTTTTTTTGAATCGTTATAATTTTTTTGAATTAATATGAGTTTAATTAATTTAATTTTAATTACACGGCCCAACATTTTGCGTGGGAAAAGTACTCTCTAGACTACGTCTTTTTCTTTTACACGCCACGTGTCACGTGCCACACCCTTCGGAACAAAATAAAATATTTATTTTCAGTCATAAATATATTATTTTTTGTGTTGCTTATATTTTGAGGGTAATAAACAGATACAATTTGCTAATTTGACGTGACGTTTAGCTGTATTTTTTTCTTCTTTTCTTACATTTGTACTTTTCGTGTTCAATGGCTTTTCCAAGACCTACACGATTGGTCAATAGTTATTTATACGTAATTATTCATTAATTTACGTAAACAGAGAAGCAGAAAAAAATTACATAGATAGATTTTACTCAAAAAGTAATAAAGCTACGTGGTTGTATATCTTTTAACTCTTTTTGGATCCGTCGTCTTTTGGTTATCGCCTTCATCGCTTGAGTTATTAGTGTGTTGATCTTTAGTGTGGTTTTGTTTAGGTGTTTGGTTAGTTTCAGATTGGATTCGGTGTGGTATGTTTTGTATTTTATCTCGCATTGTATCTTTCATTCTACTTTGTATTCTATTCGGTATTTGACTATGTATTCCATTTATTCTTAATTAAAATTTCAGATGAAAAAAAAAAAAGATTTTACTCAAAGAGATTCTTTTCACATTTCAACATTCGTCCATTGTTTCGTCATGATATAATCCAATTTTTTTTGCAAGTTTGCAACATAACATAAAAATTCCATTTTTTTACTTTATTTAAAAACGCAATTACATTTGAATTCGATTATTTCACTTAAACAACACATACATGCTTTAAAAACTCTGCATCAGTCGATAATTTTTCCAAAACGTGCGAAGATAAACACGTTTGAATCTCGATGTTTCCTTCTTCAATTCCAGGATAAACAATGAGTTTACCATCACTGGTATTTCCCGGTCCAGCTCGAACCGCAATCGGTTTACCCCAACCGAAATCATTTCCATACACATTAAACCAAGGAGAGCTAGCAACAATGATCGAATTACTCACAGCCACTTGATTCGGTATAATCGGTTTCTTCACCCAATTCTCAGCGAAAACTCTAAAATCTTCATTCGTTTGTGACCCCACAACTTTGTTTATTCGCAAAGCAGCCCAACCTAAACCATTTTTAACCATTTCTCCGGCGGTTGTCGTCGCCGTCGCGAATCCGACCACATTTCCGAAACACTCTTTCTCAAGTGGAGGGTTTAGTCTTCTTCTCATATCCATCAGTAACTTGCAACGAATCACTTCTTCCAGATTCAAATCACTGTTTTTGACAATCGATCTCCACATATGTGCCGAAATCGCTTGAAGCGACGAGATTTTCCGATCATCGGAATCAACCTCTCCGTTAGCTTTCGCTTTAAGCTCAGAGATGTTTTTACTCGTGAATCGGAAAACCTTCTCTTGTAATAACGATGATGAAGTAACAATCTGAGTCGGTGTTTCCGTCTCTGAGATCGGAATCCGAATCGGATAATCAATCCCGTCGAGAAACCACCCACGGAGAAGCAAAGGAGGCAACTTTTTCCGATTAGACCCGGTGGAGCAAATCTCCGACCAAGTGTTGAAGAAATTCCAGAACGAAGATCCATCTGCAACCATATGGTTATAACCAAATCCGATAAAAACTCCATCTTTTAACTCCGTCACTTGAAACGCGATCAAAGATTCAGAGATCCCTTCACAGCTTTTAACTCCGTTCGCCGGAAAAAACCCACTCAAGAAACCGGGAACATTACCATTAACCGGTTTTAAAACATCACTAACCGATACGGTTTTAGCCGAAGCGTGTACGAATTTAACACCTGAACCATCGCAATCGACGTAAAACGACGCCGTTTCATCGTCTTCGTTCTCGATCTTGACTAAACGACCAGCGAATGGGTAGAAAATCTTCAACGCGACGGAGAGAGATGATTTCAGTCGAGAGATTATTTCGGTTTCCGGGTCGGGTTTTGGAAACAGAAGACCTCTTTGTGGGTATTCGGATCGAAGAAAGAAGAGATCCCATGGAGTTAGATGGATCTTAACCCGATCCGATCCATCGTTATAGCTCTCGGGTCGAACAATGGTCTTAGAGATCACTACAACATTTGCCATTTTTTTGGACCTTTCGTTTTCTCAAGAAGATGATAAACACTTGTACTACACTACACTAGTGTGCATATTTTATTTTTTCAATCTCATTTTTATTTATTTCATTTTTGACCCACGTGTGCCACGTAGACACTGTTTACATAAACGTGGGCTGGCTTGGATGGTTATACATTGTTGGGCCCAATAACAGTTTCTAGGCCCATTATTAAACTTTCTCGAAGTGCCATCGATCTTGTGTGGATTTTTCATTCCGGCGGATATTACAGCCGATCTCAGACTCGAACTCGCCGGCGACGTCAAGATTCTGAAGAAATTGTAGGTTTCCGTCTATCGAAACTGTAAGGTTCTCTTTCTCTCAATAAGTATACGCTGGGGAAAGTGAGAAGACACAAAGGGGATCGAAATTGTAAATCTCTGGATATACAGGCTTGAAATTGTCCAGATATGGTGTTCTTTTGAAACCCGAGGGTAATACGAAGGTGATCTTCTCCGTATTCTTCTGTGATTAAACTGTATCGGTGACTTTCTAGGGTTTCTGCTTAGTCATGGCGTCGAAACCGTTGAATAATATCTGGATTCGGCGTCAACAATGTCCTTGTGGTGATTGGAAGTGCTATATTAGGTTTGAAGGAGATGAATCGAGCTGGCAAGTAAGTAAGAGCGAGATGGAT